GAGAGCAGAGTGGGGGTCTGCGAGCGGGGGGGTATGTTTTTCGAGCAACTCCGCCCCCCCCCCCCCCCCCCCCCCAAACTTTGCTTGTCACACCTGCATTTCCAGTGGTCTTCTAAGGAGGACATAGAGCTGAAGGTTGAGCTCTGGTGTACTCTTGTTCCCAGCTCATGCTTCTATCGCTGGAGTGGCCAGAAACGGACCCAGAACCGGTCTACCAAACTTCCACCGGCTACCCCTGCACCTTCTACATGCCCCACTCAACCTGGCAAGCTGAGCTTCAGAGAACACTCCCCGTCAGCGTCTCAGTGGGTAACAACCACAACACCCCACCTTCTAGTATTTCTGTGGGAGATGGCCCCGATGCCCCAGCTCTGAGTGTTTCAGTGGGGGTTGGATCAGACATCTCACCTCCTTCTTGTGTTTCTGTGGGGGCTGGTCCCAATGCCCCACCTCTGAATCTCTCAATGGGGGTTGGACCAGATGCCTCACCACCTTCTTGTGCTTCTGTGGGAGCTGGTCCCAATGCCACACTTCAGATTGTTTCAGTGGGGGTTGGACCAGACATCTTCATTCCTTCCTGTGTTTCTGTGGGGGCTGGTCCCGCCACCCCACCTCTAAATCTCTCAGTGGGGGTTGGACCAGATGCCTCACCACTTTCCTATGTTTCTGTGGGGGCTGGTCTTGACATCCCACCTCCTGGTGTCTCAGGGTGCATTCACACCAGCCCTGTTTAGTCTGCTTTAATCAAACTCTAGCTAGTTTTCCTAGGAAGTCCGGTTCGTTTGGGGAGGTGTGAATGTGCCATCGAACTCTGTCATGGAACAAAAAGGTGAACTCTGGCCCGGGCTAAAACCTATGTCTCGGTCCAGTAGAAGAGAACTCCAGCGCGGTTCCAGTACAGTGTTAATGTAATCAGACCGCCCCCGCTCCACAAGCAAGAAGAGGAGTACAGTGCAGGGCAAACAAACATGCATTTCTCTTACCTTATATGGAGCCGTCAGCTGCCTTGTGTGAAAAACAATATTCTCCATGGTCTTCTGCCTCATCTTCTACTCATGTTGAGTCCATTTTTGAAAAATGACTAAATATAACTCCTAAAACTACTAAAACTTGATGCCACTCCAGATGGCTAGGCCTCAGACTGACGAAGCCTCTTGGACGAGGGGCGAAACGTTTCTTTTTAACAAAAAAATGAAGTCCAGATGACATGATTCAACCTTTTTTGTTGTTATATACCTGGATGACTGAGAAAACAAACTTTGTGTTTTTGAAACCATTAGTGAAAAGGCCAGACTTCAGGGGTATCTGAGGCAGGCTTGAAACACAAGAGTCAGGGTGGCTTCTGGGTAATACCAGATGGCTAGGCCTCAGACTGATGAAGCCTCTTGGACGAGGGGCGAAACGTTTCTTTTTAACAAAAAAACGAAGTCCAGATGACATGATTCAACCTTTTTTGTTGTTATATACCTGGATGACTGAGAAAACAAACTTTGTGTTGATGCCACTCCGTTTTTGTTTTTATTTCCAGAAGAAGAAGAAAAAGTTTCTTCAGAGATTTTTATGTCGTTTCTTTCAGTAGTTCTTGGTGCAGCGCCCACACAGGCGAGTGGGGGAACAGGTTGGTTCAAACAGGTTGGGTCGACTGCACAGTGCAGTGTGAATGCAAACGCACTAGCTCAAATGTAAACAAAATGTCATGAATATTGGTCCCCAACCGAACCGAGTCTACCAGACTATCAGGTGTGAAAACAACCTCAGTGGAGGTTGGACCAGACGCCTCATCACTTTCCAGTGCTTCAGTGAGGATGGGTCCCAACACCTCACTACCTTCCAGCATCTCATAGGGGGTCCAGGTGGGTGCCTCTCACAGTTCCTGCGAGGGGGTCCATGTGGACGCCTCTCACCTCTCATCACCTGTGTCGCCAGCACTTCCTTCTTTGCTTCTGGTGGTGCCTGTTCAGTCCAGCAAGGCTAAACCTTCTCAGGGCCCACCCCAGCCAACAAAGAGGCAGAGATTCTGTGAAAATGAACCTGGTAAGGAACCGTCTCTGGCAGCAAAAAGGTGGAGACTTGGTGACAGCCCACTTCCATGTCTCCTGGTGGGTTCCACGCCTCATGAGAGTTCCACGTTGCTTCTTGTGAGTTCCATGCCTCATGAGGATTCTATGCCTTGTGAGGGTTCTACATCTCATGAGAGTTCCACACCTCATGAGGGTTCCATGTCTTGTGAGAGTTCCACGCTTTGTGAAAGTTCCACGCCTTGTGAGAGTTCCATGCTGCTCCTTGAGGGTTCCATGCTGCTCTTTGAGGGTTCCACGCCAGCTACAGCCCCTGAGTGTTCCACAACAGCTACAGTTTCCTGGGTCGCCACGCCAGCTGCAGAATCCATGGTTCCCCCTCTCCTTTTTCTCTGTGCTGCGTGGTCATGATCACTAAGGGTGACCATCACCATCAGCTGCCCACAGGACCGGCTGCCACATGTTGGATGGTCCCTGGCTGCCCCCTGAACTTATGCCCCTGTCACAAACCAATTCAATTCAGTTTATTTATATAGCACCAAATCACAACAAAGTTGTCTCAGGGCACTTTACAGAGACATTCACATACATAAAAGCCAATTAGTAAAGTTCTCTATCTAAGGAATCCAGCAGACACGTTGAATCTTGTCTATTTTGAATCCAAAACAGGCAGATGGAGTGAGAGTCACCTGTCAAGACTGCAGTGAATGATGTCACTGGTCCTATGCAGAGCAGCTGAAATAAAGTGGTTTGAGGGGCAAATCCAATAACGAGGTCCGGTTGTCAGAGCAGGGGTCATGAACAGGAAGGCAGAGGTCCAGATTCAAAATCCAAAAACATAATCCGAGAGTCGTGGTCATAGACTGAAGAGGAGGTTGTTACCGTGATCAGAGAGGCAGAACAGAACCAGATGAGGAGCAGGCAAAAAACGGGAAATCCAGAAGGCAAGCCGTGAAGTCAAAAATCCAATAGAACAAGGCTTGAGGTTCAGGCATGAAACTATGAAGGCTTGAAAATCAGAGACCATGGAAGGTGTAATAATCTCGCACTGGTGGAGAGGGAGAATGGATCTTATAAAGAGTGCAGAGCAGGTGAACTAGATGAGCTGAACAGGTGAGTGGAATCAAGGCTGATTGCTGTGATAGGCTGAGGGGGTGTGGTGAACTGTTAACTGACAGGAGCAGATGTGAGCAATGACAGGAGCTGAGGGATAAACAAAACATGAAGGAGAGGGGCAGAAAACATGGCATGTCATGAAGGGGCAGGGAAGTGAGCAGATGGGGGGCCAGCGGGGGTCACTGATCATGACAGCCCCATGTTGAATGGCCTCCCAGCTGTCCACCAGAATTGCTTCCACATGCCGAGCCATGTCCCGGTCGCCCACCTGAACTGTGGTCACATGATGGATGGGCTCCCAGCTAGTCCTGGGAGAGGTGATTCCATACTGGACGGTCCTTGGACCACCTAACCACCCCTTTTTTGTGTGTTTTTACTCTCTTGTGTTTAGTTTCCAGGTTCCACCCTGTCAGTTTTTGTTTTTTCCTAGTGTGTGTTCCCCTTGTACCCACAATCCTTGCAGTTCACCCATCCT